CTTTATACCACTATGCCGCCCTCCGCCATCTTCCAGATGGATCACCGCCACCCACCATTAGTGTGATGTGACAAATGACCACGTTCCGCAAGTTACCAAATTTTAAATTTGTTGAGATTTTTGGACTGAATTTGAAATTTTGAAAGGGGCCCCAATAATTATGGTTTAGCTTACTAGTCATGATCCGTTATTTATTTAATAGTTATTGTTAAGTATTTATTGTTAATTTATTTAAAGTTTAATATTTACCGTTAATATCTTTTATTTATTCATAGTTAGGCCTAACTTTTCCAGTTACCACTTTTCCAGTTTGTAATTCAGAAGGGTAAATTTTTAAGAAAGATATGATTTAAAGTACCTAATTCTTTGGATGGATGACATTGTTATTTTGTTGATTTTGATTAATTATAGGCTTTGTTCACAATTTGTTTTGTTTTGTTGTTCACCCACGGCCTTTCACTTTAGTTAGGGATGTGGGGCGACCACTCGCACTGTCACTATGGGGGGCACGCTTTCAATAGTGGTTCGTCTGGGGACGGTGCGAGGGGTAGGCTCATTGTATATTATTTTAATGATATATGTATATTATTTTGTTGTGCAGCTAAGAAGCTGTTTAGTTCATTTATGTTAGTTTATTTGTTTAGTACCGTAGTGCCATTCCCCCGTGCGGTACCGGGTTAGAATAGGACCGCAGCCTCCCTCGGCTTGTCGTAAAAGGCGACTAACAGGGGGTGGGAGATCCTTCTCTTTATGCTCCCAACTTTCTCTGAGGCCAAGTTTGCTTCTTACCTTTGGCTTGTACCTCGAAATCTTTCATCTTTCCTTTTTACACTTCTTTTTTTCAACCCCGGTTTGAGTGTTTTCCTTTCTTCTTTTTCGACCGACGTGCACTATTGAGCCTTGGGAGTGCCCTTTCTGTGCAAAAGGGCTGTTTTGTGCCTCGCACTGCCGATGGGACCTCTCTGGTGTGTCGTCAGGAACCAGCCCCTTCGGGCCCTAGTCAGGGAGTGCGGCATGGGTGCAGAGGTCGGGCTCTGCACTGCCACGGGCGACCCCCGGTATGTCAGGATTCTCGGTACTAGGCAAACGGAGACCGGGCCCCAGGGAACTGGTGTAGGGGCTACGTCCCCGAGGGTATACCCGTTCCTGGTTATTCCGGGCCGTCCCTTGCCGCACGATGCGCTGGCAAACATTTTTATGGCTATTTCAACCTCAGGTAGCATGGAGGGCTTGCTTGGCAAGCAGTAAAGAGGAGAAGGCGTTTAAGAGGGGAGGGTGTGTTTCAAGGTCACCCCCTCTGACGGTAGAAAATATATCGTTGGCACCTTCGCTGGTAAAGGGAGCGACTGTCTCCCCTCCACCGGTGCCAGCATTCAAGTCTGGTGAAGGGCTGTTGGAGGAACACCTTACAACAACGTTGCAGTCGGAGAGCTCAGGGATGGTGCTTCTGCGTCAGAAATACCTTGACGCAGAGAGTAGCATCGAAACCCGGCTTCGAGACATGGAGGAGACCATTAAAGCTATGCTGGACACCTTCCGGACCCAGAAAGCTGTTAACCAAGTGGTCAAAAATGGCATGGCTAAGCTAGAAGACGACCTTGGATTTGTTTTTGCCTGCCGGTTGGTAAGCAAGGCGGCCATGGAGAAGATTGCGGAGAAGGTAGTGTCTATGCCCGATGACAGGGCGCTGCCTTCCAAGAAACGCAGAAGGCCATCCACTACGGAAAGCCCTCCAAAAAAGGAAGAGGCTGTTCAGACCACAAGGGCTAAAGTTAAGGCTAAGGAGACCCAGACAGACCTTTTGTCTGCCGGGCCCAGGTCTTCCCCAGATGTAGCTGCTTTCCCAACAAAGCGTCTGCAACCTCAGCAACCCGTAACCCCTCTAAGGGGAAGCTCCTGTAAGGGATCAGTCGTTGAGACACCATCTAGGGCTGCATGGGAAAAGCGTCTTACCCGAAAGGAAAAGAGGCAGCAGAGGCGGGTGGAGGTCACCTCCAAGAAAAATGTGGCGGTGAAGGCGCAAACAACAAACGTTGCCCAAATTGGGCCCGGTTTGGCCCCCGCTCTTAAAAGGTCGCGGCCAAAAAAGCCCAGGACAGAGGCAATCTTGGTTAAGCCCTCAGGGGGGAGATCATTCGCTGAAGTCTTGGGTATAAACGTTTAGTTGCCATTACAGGTTAAACACTGAGTTGGGTCTTTCTGATCACAATGCTATATTCATAAACCTCCCTAAGCTAGCCAAGTGTAAAACCATCAAGAATACTTCTAGTTATTTTAAGAAAAGAATCATCTCTGATAGAAATACAGATGAATTTTGCAAATATCTACAGAGCACTAATAATAATTTTGTATTTAACCCCGCTTTAAACCCCAATGAAAATTACAATAGTTTTTTGAGAAATTTTTTATTATCTTTCAATCATATATTTCCTGTTAAATCACTAAAAAAGAATGCTAAAACTAATAAATCTACTCTGAATTGGGTGACCCAAGGTATAAGAATTTCCAGTAAGAGGAATCGAGAATTGCACTTTGAAGCCAAGTTAACAGTTTTTTATGTAATTCCGTTATTAATCTGAATGTAAAAAAGGCTTCTGTCAATGGTGTTCATTCGTCTGTAAAATCCTACTGCAGTGATGGTGGGGTTACATTGTGCAATCTTAGCCCCACTAATAAAGATGAAATAAAAAAGATCATCCTTTCTCTAAAGAACAAAATTTCAGTAGGCTGGGACGAAATCCCAATTAAATTGATCAAATCTGCTGCTGACATTATCTCCGAACCCTTATCTCTTATTATAAATCAGTGTTTAAAGAATGGTATTTTTCCGGATCAACTCAAGAACTCCCAAATTTCTCCCGTTTTTAAGAAAGGTTCAAAATCAGATATTAATAACTACCGTCCAGTATCAGTATTAAGTAATTTTTCTAAAATATTTGAAAAAGTAATAAGCTATAGACTAGTTAATTATTTTGAAAGTAATAATTTATTTTACAATAAACAATTTGGTTTCCGAAAAAATTCAAGCACAGTTTCTGCTCTTACTCAGTTTGTTAATGAGATTGCAGAGGCCTTGGACAGGTCTCAGGCCACAGCAGGTGTTTTCTGTGACCTGTCTAAGGCTTTTGATTGTGTGGATCACTCACTCCTGTTGCTAAAACTTATTGATTATGGGATTGGGGGAAGTTGCTTTTCTTTAATACAATCTTACCTTTCTGAAAGAAAACAAAGAACTTTAATTTTAGAAGATAACAACAAACATTATTCACCATGGGAAATTATATCCACAGGTGTTCCCCAAGGCTCAGTATTGGGCCCACTTTTTTTTCTTATTTACATTAATGATCTTCCAAAAGCTATTAATAAAGAACTAATTCTTTTTGCCGATGACACTACTGCTTTGATCAAAAATAATAATACAGCTGAAATGTTTTCTTCTCTGCAAAGTGTGGTAAAGGACATGGAGCAATGGTTTTTAGAAAATGGGTTAAAACTTAATGTTGAAAAAACAAATATTATTAAATTTTCTACTAGACACAAAAATATGGAAAACTGTTCCTTTAATTTAGTTGAAGCTCATAAATTCTTAGGGGTTTACGTAGATGACGCAGTTAAATGGGATTCACATTTGAATTATTTACGTAACAAAATTAGGTCGATATCATCTTTATTCATACATTTAAGGGACTGTGTTTCTATTGAGACACTTAAAGTAGTTTATCATGCTTATGTGGAGTCAGTGTTAAGATATGGCATAATTTTATGGGGTCAAGCTACTGGTATTAAAACTTTATTCAGGTTACAAAAACGTATTATTCGTATTATTACCAACTCTCATCCACGCAGTTCTTGTAAGAAACATTTTCAAAATTTAAGAATTCATACATTAACGCGGTTGTATATTCTAGAATTATTAAATTACATACATTCAGTTAAAAATGAGCTACCAGAAACAATACATTTTAATCACAGGTATGAAACCCGAAATGAAAATATATTTAGACTCCCCAGACACCGTTTGACCCTATATGAAAAATCTCCATTGTACGCTGGGCTGAGATTGTACAATGTGCTTCCGCCATGCTATAAGTCATTAAGCAAAACCAAATTTAAAGATACAATAGATAATTTTCTTATTGACAAGGCTTTTTACTTAATTGAAGATTTTTACAGAACTACAATTTAGAAATTTTTTTTTTAAGTGTTTAATTTTAAGTTAAAAGTTTTAATGTTAAATATTTTATGTATGGATTTAATTTTGACAATGCACTTATTCTAAATGTTATGACATGTATGGAATGTTTTGTGCAAATAAAGTCTATGTCTATGTCTATAATAAAGGCTAAAGCTAAACCGGAGCAGACCGATACGGTTGTGCGGTCGATTAGGCAAACCCGGGGCGGGGACGTCCTCCTTGAACTGGGTAAGTCAAAGGACAAATCCGCTTTTGCTGCTGAACTAAAGGCAGCCGTGGAAGGCCAGGGCACCGTCCGTGCACTCGAGCCTAAAACGTCAGTTGAGGTTCGGGACATAGATGGTGTGTCGACAGAGAGTGAGGTGGTTGAGGCCCTAAAGAAAGCAGTCCCCGAGCTTGCCGGAACATCGGCTGTTCTTAGGGTGTGGCTCACAAAACCAAATAGAAACCAGCAGCGGATGGCGGTCGCCGAAATGGCAGACGCACACTCTAGTAAGGTGTTGGCACTCCAGCATTTGAGGGTCGGTTGGGTCAACTGCAGGCTCAGACGGAGGGTGGAAGTAACCAGGTGTTTTAGGTGCCTCGGTTTCGGTCATTCCTCCCGAAATTGCAAGGGGCCCGACCGAGGCAAGCACTGCCTCCGGTGCGGAGGGGTGGGTCACGCTCGCAGGAACTGCCAAGTCGAATCTTGCTTTCTTTGTAAGGAAAATGGGCTCGCGGACAAAAACACCAAACATATAGCTGGGTCTGGGCAGTGCAGCGCTTTTAAAACTGCGCTCCAGCAAGCAAAAGCCCACCCACGAAAATAAGAATAGTCCAATGTAATCTTGGGCGATCCAGGACAGCTGACGCGCTTCTCAGTCAGCTTGCCCTCGAACACGGTGTTGACAAGCTCTTGGTCAGCGAGCAGTACTAGTACCGGAATAGGGTCCCACCCTTTTGGTTCCCCGATAGTCTTGGTACTGCTGCTTTCTGGGTGCGTAATACAGCTCAAGTGCAAGTGCGGGGTCATGGAAAGGGCCACGGATTTGTTTGGGTTCGGTGCAAGGACGTCACCTACTACAGTGTCTACCTCACTCCCAACGAGGCTATCCATGACTTCCGCGAGAAGATAGACCGCCTGGAAGAGAGCGTGCGCAATACCACAGGACACGTTGTCATGGGTAGGGATTTTAATGCTAGGGCTGTCGAGTGGGGAATGACCCTCACAAATTCCCGGGGGAAGTACATCCTGGACTTTGCTGCCAGGGCCGGACTCGTTGTAATCAACGAGGGCAACACGCCAACGTTCTGGCGACCCGGGATGAGGGGAACGATCCCAGACATAACCCTCGCATCTGAGTCTCTTCTGCCAAGGATCACAGCCTGGAGAGTCTTGGAGGATTATACGGCCATCGACCATCAATACATTATTTTCGATGTCTTAGATCGCCTCCCGAGACAAGTTGCTGCATCTCGGGAAGTGCCGGTTCGGTGGAACACCAAAAAACTGGACGTGGCTAAATTCACCGAGGCCATCCTGCGGGGAGTGCCAGCGGTGCCTGCCGCACCTGGCATGGCTCATGCAGAGGCTATAGTTACATCGATGATGGGGCTGATTGCCTAGGCTTGTGATGAGTCAATGCCCTGCAAGAGACTCCGTTGCGATAGGAGACCCGTATACTGGTGGACTGCAGAGATCGCGGATTTGCGCCGAGCTGCTTTGAGAGCTAGACGACTCGCTACCAGGGCCAGGGCACCCTTGGATAGACGCCGTAAGCTGGAGAGCTATAAGGTGGCGAGGAAGTCTCTCCGCCAGGCCATCAACCGGAGCAAACACAATTGCTGGAAAACACTAAGGGATGATGTAGATTCCGACCCGTGGGGCCTGGGTTACAAACAAGTAACCCAAAAACTCACCACTCGCTCTCACCCTTCCGTCATGGAGGGGGCCGCTATGGAGAGAGTTGTCAAATCCCTTTTTCCGGATCATATTCTGCGCCCACTGCGTGAGTTTGAGATGATGGACGATGTCCCACTCTTCACTCATGAGGAGCTGGAGACTGCCGTTTTATCCCTAAAAAACAACAAGGCTCCTGGACCTGATGGGGTACCTGGCGAGGCTCTTAAGAAGGTTTTTTCAATCAATCCCTTGATTCTTCTGAGCATGTATAACCCCTGCCTGGCAGAGGGGGTATTTCCGTTGTGTTGGAAAAAAGCTAGGCTCGTGCTCGTAGGGAAGGGGAAAGGAGACCCAGAATTGCCGTCCTCTTACAGACCCCTTTGCATGTTGGATATGGCTAGGAAAGTCCTAGAGAAGTTGATCCGTTCCCGACTGAATTCAGCCGTGGTTGCTGCGGGGGACCTGAGCCCTCGCCAATACGGCTTCAGGAAGGGGCGATCAACGGTCGACGCTATTGAAGAGGTGAAGCAAGCCGTGATGAGAGCTGAGGATTTTAATTACTACTCTCGTAGGGTTGTGCTGCTCGTTACACTCAATGTGCGAAACGCATTTAATTCTGCAAGATGGTGCGATATGCTGGACGCTCTGGAGAACAACTCCCACGTCCCGGCATACCTCATGCGCATTATAGAGGATTACCTCCGGTTCCGCCTCCTACACATGTATGATACTACTGAAGGCCCGCGGACGATGAGTGTCACTTCTGGTGCTGCCCAAGGTTCCATACTCGGCCCGGTCCTCTGGAACGTTGCCTACGACAGCCTCCTTAGGTCTGAAATGCCTGAAGAAACCGTTTTAGTTGGGTACGTAGATGACATTGCAGCTTTAATAGCTGCTCGTAGTGTTGAGCTGGCCCAGCTAAAATTAAACCGAGTCATGCGAACTATAAACGCATGGATGGCAGATCACGGTCCCTCACTCGCGCTGAATAAAACTGAGATCGTGATTCTGACCAAAAAGCGGATTGACACCATTGTGCCGTTGAGGGTGGGGGACGTCGAAGTCCAGTCCGTTCGTGCCGCCAAGTATCTTGGTGTCATGGTGGACTCTAAGCTTAGCTGGCGGGACCAGATATTCCGAACGGCGGACAAGGCCGCTAAGGTGATCTCTTCTCTTAGCCGGTTAATGGCCAATGTCGGAGGTCCTCGTTCCAGTCGCAGAAGGCTGTTGATGTCTACAGTTCAGTCTGTGCTCCTGTATGGTGCGGAGGTGTGGGCAGACACGCTCAATAAGGAGGTGTATAGGATGCGGCTTGCCAGAGTGCCGTCAAACTTTTGGCGGCAGAGAGGAAAGCGATTTATCAGCGCCGTGGAGACCTAGGACCATACAAAAATGGAGGAGCGCAACCGCACCTACCAGCTCTGGCAGGAGAGCTGGGAACAGGAGTCACAGGGACGCTGGACCAGGAGACTGATTCAGCAAGTCCAACCTTGGGTTGACCGACGGTATGGTGAGGTGAACCTTACCCAGTTTCTGACAGGTCACGGGTTTTTTCGGTCGTACCTGTTCAGGATGGGCAAAGCCGTGTCACCCGATTGCATCTACTGCCCAGGCACTCCCTACGACGCGGAGCACACCTTCTTCCGCTGCCAGCGTTGGGAAGGTTCCCGCCTGGAGGCTGAACAACATGTAGGGCAGTTGTTGGTGGACACGGTCATTCCGATGATGACGGAGGGTGAGGAAATTTTGGACCTGTATGTCACATTTCGTCCAGGATATTCTCCGCACAAAGAAGCTAGAGCTTGACCGAGATGCAGTCTAGGTCATAAAGAAATTGAATGCCAGAAACGGCGCGAGCTCTGAGGGCTTAGGTCACACGTTGACCTGACCTGAAGTAATGTGACAAACAATCTCAGGTCTGTGTCCAACAGAGTAGAGGGGGTATTTTAGTGAGTAGTCTGACAAGCTCTGGAGTCTCACACTACAGGCTGGCTACCTGTGTGCGTAAAAGCATTTTTACCTCCTCTCTCTTAAAAAAAAAAAAAACCGTAGTGCCATTTGTGACGGTAATTAAACTGAACATTAGGGGACCGAGCGTTACTTTGTTGTGCAGTTAAAAGGTTGTTTAGTTCATTTATATTAAGGTACTGCAATTTGTGACGGTAATTAGACTGAACAGTAGGGGACCGAGCATAGCTCGATGGTGTTTAGTAGGTTAACAAAGTATAAAATATACGGCACTTATTTATGGTTTAAAACTATTTAAAAGTAAAACTTAACATTACTGGTACTAACCCATTTAGGTATAAAGTTACTTGGTCGTTTCGTTTGTATTTACAAAAAATGACAAACATTATGAACCGTGACTATTTCCACTGGCGAATGTCACGACTCATAATCAATAGTCAAAGTGTTTTTTTGTATAGTAGGTTAGTTTGTGTTCGCTTTATTGCTGTTCAAGCTCCACTCAATGACTCTGTGCGTCACTTTTTCTCCCCTGTGCCGGGATTGTCAGAGGTTGCGTGACAATCAACTAGTTAACCTCGCAGACACTTTTTGCGAGCCTTTTGGGGCCCATGTGAGCTGTCAACCTGTGACCCCGGGAGCATGGCGGAGAAATATTTACACCTTGGGGCCTCCTTTGGGTCTCTGGCCAACCCCTCTCCGTCTAGCTTCAACGGCTCCAGTGCTCTGTGTCTACCTTGAACATTCCGCCGTACCGCAAGTTCCTGTTTTGTGCATTTGTTTTATCTACAGATTTATTTATTGTTCTGTTGCCAATTGGACTTAAAATTTTTATTACTCGTTAAATATTTATAAGCACAGCATTCTATTGTTGTTATCTGTTTTAAAATTTTATTCTACAGTCTATTAGCCTACTTGTTGACAATTTAAATTTTATAATTTATTAATTAGCCTATTCAATTAAATTCAATTTTTGGGGCCCCTAAATAACTGTTACCAAGTTCTAAATGCAAATTTAAGAAGAAATAAATCTATCCATTGTTATAATTTGTTAATTTTGGTAATTTTTTATTAAAGGTTAAATTTTTTATTAAATCTTTCTGATAGTTGATGATTAAAAGAAATGATTGTAAGTTAGTAGGCCAGATTGGTAACTCAAATTAGTTAAAGTTATCCAAAGGTAATTAATTCATGCATTGTTGTTAATTATTGTTTTTGTGCTTTTAAATTGTTTATTACAGCTCGTTTCTCTCAAATGGCGTGTTGTTCTTGAACTTCCATCCATGGTTCTCATTTTGTTTAGTAAAGTTTGGTGAGCCGCTCCTCGGGCCTGCGCATGGATCACGCTTCCAAGTCGTTAGTCTGGGTGCAGGCACGAGGGCATGGTTCAGTTAAAACGCTTTTACTTAAATTGTTTTGCGAAAAGTATTTTAATGGTTGCTCCTGATTGTTTTTAATGTTATTACTTTTTCATTAATAGGTTTAACTATTTAATATTTAACACAACTTATTTAACACAAAAAATGCATAGTGATTTTTATTTTTATTATTTAAAATCTTTAAGCCAACTCAACTAACCTCCTCAGTGCCTAAAATATAAAAAATCTTCTAGAATATAAACTATACCGGTATTCTCGATTTAAATGATTCAATCGTTGATTCACTAATTTTTTATTTTATTTGGTTTTAATAACTGTAGATAGATATGTGTTTTGTTCTTTGTGTAGGCTATGCTATTATTTGAATGGCTCCCTGGAAAAACGTTCCATGCGCCGTTTTGTAAACTTTACAGAAACTAAAAAAAAACGTTAAGAGAGGAATTTTTTAAAGATTATTTTTGGATTTTTTTAGATTCTACTTTATAGGTCTAGTCAAAACAATGTTATAGGCTATGGATTTTTTTCAAGTAAAAATCCAAATTATTAAGCTTTTGACACTTTAAGTGTAAATGTAGTGGAAAAACGTTGCTTGGGCATAGTTGATGTGCACAAGCAACGTTTTTCTACTGAAACATAGCACTCTACAATACTGGCGTTTGGAACATTTTGTAAAGAATAAAGTTTTAATAATTCATTATTTTTATTGCTTAGGTACAGAAATTCTCAAACTGCAAGTGAAAGATTTTTTTTACAATATTGAATCTTATTTTAATAAAAGAATACACAATATCTTGTTAATGACACGTGCATAACCCCTTGCCTTTGTATTAAGCTGATATTGTTTGTGTGCTTGGGACTTTTAATTTTACAATATTGCACTTCATTTAACTAAAAGAACACACAAAATCTTGTAAAAAAATGTATTATCTTGGTACAGTATAGTCAACAGTATAGTCAATCACAAAAGGTATAGTCTTGCAGCCGTTGTGTGTGCAGGAACATGAGAAATCCTTAAATAAATCAGCACATTCACTTAACAAAAATAACATATAAGACAGTAAACAGTAAATTGACAACAGCTAGGTTGTAATTTACTAATAATAAGTATTTCGAAATGGAAATGAAATTCCTATGTCCTGGTAAATATTCTGGATCACAAACGTTATAGTGTTCAACTACTGTAGTGTGCATTGTAGCACAAGTAACGTTTTTCCAATTACTTCAGAAATAGGTACTTTTTCAGGCACTACTTTATTTTTGTAGTTTTTTTTTACTCTTTTCCGCTATTTCTATGACTCTTCTTAACTTTCTTCTTCCAAAAATCTATGTTTAACTTTAGTTTTT